ATGTCTTATTTATTCTTCTGTACAGCACTTTGGTCAACTTTGGTTGTTTTAAAGTGCTTAACAAATAAAGTTGGATTGGATTGGATTGGATTGAAGTAGGTAGCCTGTGTTTAACATCCTGGTTCAGTGTGCTAACATCAGAATTAGCACTAAATGTAAAGTAGCAAAGTTCGACTTGATGATGGCACTAGATGAAAAATTAGGCGATGAAGTTATTTTAATTCATCCTGAGGGGGACATGCATGTTTGTACCAAATTACAATCCATCCAATAGTTTTTAAGACATTTCACAAAAAAAAAAACACAAATGTTGACCTCAGTGCTAGAGGTAAAGTCACTATGATGTGGCTATCTGTACCACATTTCATGATAATGTATCAATGGTTGTTGACATACGTCAGTCTGGACCTAAGAGGCGAACCTGCCGACAGACTGACATCACCATCCTGCTGCTAGCATGGCTTAAGTATAGGATACAATAGTGTGGCTACAAACTTCAGAAGCATAAAGAGTAATTGCAGCAGGTCATGAACTCAGCGTCTTATTGGATGCTGTGATTCTCCCTAAGTGTTTCTGCAAAGGGGATTAAACAGCTTCCTCCAACTAATCTTGTCATTGCAGATAATGACATTATTGAGATATCCTCTATCATTGTCTAAGGGTGAAGCAGTTTAATAAACTAACATACAAATATATTTTAGATGCTCGCTGCTGATCTGTTGCACCGAAAGAACACAAACATACAGATAGATTTGGAACATATGGTTTAAGCCAAAGATTAAGCGCTGGGATTTGCAAGAGATGAGCTTCAGATTAACATCATTTGATCAGCAGTGGTGGAAAGTTACTAAGTAAATTTACTCTAGTACTGTATTTAATTGAAATTTCTATTTTATGCTACGTTATACTTCTGAATCCCTAGATTTCAGAGGGTTCATTTTATGATAATGCTAGAGCAAACCAGTTCTTATAGTGACAAAGAAGCAGTGTATGCTTGAGGCCTTTTCTCTAGTTCCAACAAAGAGAGATTTACCCTCTAAACTTCTCAGATGGTTTCATTGCAATAACAAGTAGGAAAAAAAAGAAAAAAAGTATCAAAAAGGTAAATTAAAGGTAAAATTATCTAATACCTTACATATTCATGTTATTTTCTCTCCCATTAATCATCTCACGACCCCTCTGCTGCTGCCCAACCCTTAGATTGAGAACCACTGGACTACATAACTGTGTAAAGTGTTTAAATCTCTGTAAAATAACTAAAATGTTGCTTACACATTGATGCATCATTATTAAAAGTTGTTTTTACATAAAGTTATATGTCAGTCACAGTACGGTACATTTAGATGATTATACTCATGAACTTTTGCTTAGCAAGGTAGGTAGTTTTTAATGGAGTAGTTTTACATTATAATTTGGTACTTTTACAAAAGTACCTCAGTACTTCTTTCACTACCTGTGCTCAACATGAAAAGCCAGGACGTTAACTAGTTAGTAGACTTTTAGTTAGAAGTACATTTTTAAAAGATTACTTCATTATCAGCCTGTTGGTTGGCTTGTTCGGTAAATCTAGGAAAACATGGTGGCTTTTTAAAATATGATCACAGTCCAAAAAACAAGCCTTATTTAACTGTGGAAAAACAAACATCTTGCCTTTGTAACTCTAGTATGACTTAAAATGTTTAATCTTCATCCGATTCATGAAATGGAAGAGCCAGTAATGGAAGTTAGACTGCGGTTGCTAGGCAATAGCAGTTCAGCTCACACAGACACATACAGGGACACACCCACACCTACTGCACTGTAAACACTGAACAATAACCTGCACAGTTAGGATATCAAAGTCACTTTGTTATGGTGAAATACCTTTCTAACGCTAACATCAAGACACAAATGCTTATTAAGATGATTATGTTATGTATATTGACTCTGAATTTAGGCCTAATGTATCTCTGCTACTGAGGCACTCCTGCACTGTAGACAATAACAGCAGCCTGGATTGACATGATGTTAAAATAATAATAACAAACAGCTCTTACCATTTCATCTGTTTGGCTCCCATGCTGGTGTTCACAGACTTAACCTCCCATACAGTCGGAGCCACGCATCTGGGTGATGCTCTGCTTCTCAGTCAGGACCATAGCCCAAACACAGCCAGAGGCAGCAGGGAGGGGAACAGCCCTGAAAGCAGCTACCAGAGGAGTCTCCACGTCGCACACTGTGTTCAATCAGAAATAACAGCACGTTCAAATCCTCTCCGGCAGCATATGAGCTCCAAAATCCTAATCAAAAGCCCTCAACACTTCCCCTAAATCATACCAAGGCTCAGTCCTAGCTGGCAGAGACAGACAGAGAGACAGAGGGAGGGAGGATTGGTGCTCAGCAACACCAGCGACTGAAGTCTGCCTGGTTTCTCATTGCACTCGCCTTGTGCCTGAGCTCACCAGCTCCCATTCACGAACACAATGTTTTTTGTTCCTTGCGGACAAGGACTGATGCAGCTCTTGTGCATCTTTTTCACCCTTTTTTCTCCGCCGGTCTTTTTGCATTTATTCCCTCTGCCCTCCCTCCCTCCTTCCCCTCTTTCTCTTCTGCTCGGTTGCACTAGGCTTTGTATCAGTCCTTCCTTCTTTCAGTGAGCGAGGATGTCAGACATGGCTGTGTCTGGGGTGTGTTTACCCTCCCCCCTCTCCCTTATTCCTCCTCCTTCCTTTCCCCACTGCTCTCTCCTTTCACATGGAGGAGGAGGGAGATTTTCTCCTTCTCTCTCCTTTCCCATTGCTTTTTCTGTACTCTATGTCACTGCAGCTAAATTGAGAACCAACATATGGATTGAAAAACAGACATGAAAATCTCTGTGGTCTTTTGTTTGTAGAAAATCACAGGTTTGCACAACAACAACATATCACACTAGCAGAAACATATGAGAGGGTAATGATATATTTACACAGTCGGAGGAAGGAGTTACTTGGAAATAAGCAAACAGAAAATGGTATTTATGGAATGCACACATCAGCCTACAATTATAGAAGTTTTCACATTTTTCATAGCTGTGCAGTGAACATTTTTTCAGTGCAATTGTGACATAAATATGTCAAACATCATTTAAGAGTTATTTAGAGAATGCCCTGAAACATGAGATTAAACCAAACTGTAAGAAATGCCAGATATATAATTTGAGCAGCAGGCAAACAGAAACAAAAGGTTTTTTATGACATGTGTTGCTAGTGTTAAGTAGTCTTTTGAAAGGCATTTTGGCTGAGCACACTGTCATTAAGCTGTTAGAAATGTTTCTGGTGTCATCAGCAAGAATGTGAAATAGGTCTCGACGTGGCAGCTTGCAGCTCTGCCCAGAACAAAATGACAGTGTCTTAAATTCTGCATGAACTCCATCATCAACACGCTTCAATGAGCCACTTTACGGTAGAGTGAAATGTATGCAGACCAGCAAACTAATGCACCTTTAGATTTCACTGTGCAGTAAGTAAATGTACAAAAGTAGTTGCATTAAAATGTCTTTATACTCATTACGCAGAATTGCCAATTTCACAATATCACACATTATATTATTGGACAATAATTACTGTGTAGGCATCATTTTAAAGTTTTAGCAGGTAAAGGTAGGACTGATTTGACTATTTTTTATACTTCTGAGTAGTTTAATCTATAATAATGCATCACAAATTATTAGCTGGTTATATTTTGGGTCAATAATCAGAATCTGAGAAGTAATTAAAGCTTTAAAATTAGTATAGAAAGGACATGATGATAATATTCACGTCTTTGTTCCTCCTCAGTGCACTTAGTGAGACTGGCAATAATGTAAATACATATAATTTACATACAGTATCGGGAGTCTATGTCAGAGGTAGGGCTGCACAATGTGATGGTTGGGGATGGATTCAGTACCCAATAATCTTACTTGTAATTCTTTTTCTTACACACTCATTTTGCCTATGTCATGTCTGAGCTGTTTTCTTCAATGTTGATTAAAATTTTTTAGATGTGTTTTAATGCTATCACAACATTAATCAGTTCTTATGGGCTACATAATCATCACATAAATCAACAATACACACCAGGATCACTGTGCGAACTGCCCATTAATCTGATTTGTTTTTCATTTTTTATTTACAAATCTGCAAATAGTTGTTAAATTGTTTTTTTCTCTGTGCAAGCTATAACAAAAATGTTGCACACCCACCCATTTGATGGAATAATTAAATTGTTTCCAAATAATACGTGGCAGAAATATTGGGTGGAAGGAACTGATATCAGTTTAAAAATGCAATAGCTTCTCTCATAAACTTTCATTAAGTTGCTACTGTTTCTTTGTACACATTCTTTATTATTTTTATTCTGAGCATCCCTTTGAATGTTTTGCTCCAATACTAAAAGGACAAGGACAAACTCAGGTACCAAACAGACAGACAATGAAGAGTTGGCAGACCAAGATGTGACTGGGGGGAATTGGAGGAAACAAAGTGCTCCTTTAATGGAGAATATTCTATTCATGCATGGATGATACTTAAGGAGTGACTTTGCTGTTCAGAGTGTGATGGGAAAGTCATTTCACCACTGGGGAGCCAGGAGGTGAGAAGAAAGCCGGTTTGCCACAGGGACAACATGCAGTCGGCCAATTTGTAAATCAAATGAGTTGCTAAAATAGAGCAGATTGTTTGCACTGTCACCATGGATTCTGATTGGAAATTATTATTGTGCCTGCTATGAAACACACATATTTTTTATTCAGTGACCATATCTTCAAACAGTTATGCAAGAAGCACCGCAGACTGATGAGATTTGTCCTTGAGAATCCCATCCATTTTTGTTGTCAAATACAATTTAGAAAAGAAGTCTGAGAATGTTTAGGTTTATTGTTTGGGAGGCAACACTGGAGAGAGTGGACGATGATTGGAAGTCAGACTCTGTCATTATAAATCAGCTTTTGTCCAAAATATTTGATTGAATATAATGCACTGCCGTAATGAAATAAACAATTTTGCTCGGAAATCATCTGACAATTATCGAGCATTCAGAGCTGCACGGCTTACTAGATTTGTTATCTCACTCACAGAAAATGTTTGGAAAAGTTGAGTAAAGACTTTTTGTTTCATTCAACTAAACATAATAGTTCTTGAGAAAATAATTAAAATGTTCAAGAATGCCCTGGAAATTCCTCAAAATCAGGCCTGAGGCCAAATATTAATACACCAAAGTTCACTGAAATATGTTAACAACTTCATCTTTCTTACTAATTATTTACAAACATGAATTAATAGTAATACATAGCAGTGGTGGAAGAAAGATTCAGATTTTATACTTAAGTTAAACTATCAATATAACATGAAAAACTTCCATTACGAGTCAAAGTCCTTCATTCAAACTCTTATTTAAGTAAAAGTACAGTAGAATGTGCTTAGAGTAAACATAACAGTATGTACTGAAGCTGCTGAAGGGCCCCTGTCAGTGTTACATTCTTATATCTATAAAGTACAGTTTTACCTTTGACAGCGGTGTAGAAGTATAAAGTAATAATAAATGGAGGAGCACATGTACAGTTAAGTAAAGTACTTGGGAACATGTAGTTGGTTCCACTGATAAATGGACACTTCTGCAGCTTTAACATTGAAGTATTGTCACACTTGTTGTTAACTGACTTGTTTCTAGACTAAAAACCCTGCTTTTGTTGAATTAATGATCTATTTTGAGAGAATTAACAAAAAAAAAGATGATTGGTGTCAATACTTCAAGGGCCTAAGTATAAACCAAAAAACTGACATATTGATGTCAAAATGACAAAACGTAGCAATACTTTTCAGTATAAAAAAAACACATGCCTGTTTTTCTCAGCGTGATTTTAAGGCTCAAGCAGCTCAGTCTGGTGAAATGCAGCCTACTTCAAAGAATTTGCAAAGATGTAACAGACAATTCTATTGCAGACATTTTATATCCACCATGTAGGAGGTGCAACTGAGCATAAAGCTGTCGGGCAATTATCTAAAATTAGGTTTAATATACATACATAAAATAAGATGAAACTTTGACTCCCACTGGGTGATATTGGGAGCACAATCATCGTCTCAGTCAGTGGTAATATGGAACAACTTCATACATGTAACCGAGAAGACTACTTATTAAAACCGCTAATTAGGCTCCTACTTAATTGAGTGCAGCTGACTCTTCATCATATTGTGTGTTTAAAATATTGGCTTGCATAACCACCAGGGTATTCTAAATAGGCTGAGGCCTGATTAGTTATTACAAAGTGATCCATCTTTCAACATTATGTATGTATGTGGATATATTACCAGAACTGTTTTACATTGTTTATACAGTACTCTTTGTACGTTCATAATGTGGATGGCAGATCTTGCAGCTAGGCCCTGTGTATGCCTTTTGTGGACTTTACATTAGTGGAACTGGGTTGCAGCTTGTTTTTATTTGGGTCAGATACAAGTCAAGCCAAGACATGTCTAGCCAGTCTTAGTACAAAGCACAAAGACAGAAGGCAGGGAGAAAATGCATATTTTTAATAACTCTGGTATTGTGAAGTTTCTTTTTATTTAATTGTGTTTATATTTATTTTTGATTAAAGAAAAAACTATTCTGAGACATCAAACAACCCAAAAACTGTTGTATTTACTGAGCATGTATATGTGTATGAGCATGTTTTTACATTTACATATATCTTGTTGACACATGTAGACAAGTAACACAAGTACATTTACTAAAACACTATACTTTTTAGTAGTAAAGTAATTAATCTAAGTAATAAATCTACTAGAGTAGTTCCATTTGCATCTGCTACTTTAAACTTAGAGGCAAACATACTCTTTACTCCACTTCAGCTATTTGATAACTTTAGATGCTATTAGAAAATATAATCATCAAATAATATGTACTATTATTAATAATAATATGAAATTATGATATATAATCAATAGGACTTTACTGTCTTCCCCAGGGGAAATCCATAAACTACCCAGCAGTATATAAAGTAATACATATGGACAGATTATTTATATGTGTACACATGGACCAGCTGCAATACTGAATTGTTGCACACAGGAATATATCAGTTGTCTTAATCCAGTAATTATTCTACTATAATAACTTCTGTAATAAACAGAGTATTGTGGTATTGCTATTTTTAAAACTCTAAAACAAATACATAGATATAAGTTGTTATGGCTATTTTGTTAGCAAACAATTGTATTTACTTACTTGCAAACCCAGCAGAAGACATGATCTTCCAGCAGGGGTGCTCTTTCTCTTGCCACCTGTTGCATTTTGGTCCGCCGTGGTTCAGCCTGCCAATGATAGAAATAATATCTGGGTCTTCTTTTCTTGCGAGATGTCTGACTTTCTTTATCAGTCACTCTTTTATTGTCTTGGTTTGTGGGTCGAGTTAACCTAAACAATGAGCTAGCCAGTGTTGAGTCTCAGTGGGACCATCAGTACTATCACCCAATCCACAACCGTGAGCCATTTGATTCAATGCTGACATAAAACATTGCTAATTAGCTGTAGATTTTCTTCAAAATGGTCTGTTTTATGTTATATTTAAGATTTATTTTTAAAGTCAGTCAATATTATTTGACTCTGCTATCAAGTGTTTTTTAATTAAATTAGTGTAAGCTTTGTCACATCTTTATCAATAACTACTTATCGTTTTAATCACTCGCCGATAGTGCTCATTTTTGCAGCTATAAATTTGCAGTGTTGAATATCCACCAGCTGGAACGGGTCACGGCGCCTAGCGGTATGATTGACAGGTCATTGGACCAATCACAGCGCAGCGTTGCCAACATTCAGTGACGTAGACCGTGCGACAGCGTCACGCCTATCGGTAAAGCGGAAGTAGCGGCGGAGGCTGTGAGCCGCGTTTTGTCCTTCTTGAATACTACTCGTTCTTAAAAAAGGTACAGTTTGTACACATTTACGCAGTTACGGTGAATTACGAGTTGTAGTAGTTGTATTTGTTGCCCGGTACAGTTCGTAGCCAGCTTAATTGTTACCGCTTCACTCTGAATGCCGAAACAGTGTTAGCGGGCGAGCTAGGCTAACAGGTGATGATGAGGGCTGTCGTGTGTTTTGCACTGATCATCACTCTTCATCTTCAGTTTGCACTGATCATAGCTCTTCATCCTCAGTTTGCAGTGAGCACTCTTCATCCTCAGGTGTATTGACCAACGATAGGGCTGTATTTGTCTCATGTCAGGTGTCACCATGGCCAAGCAGCCGCTGGGGAAGACGCTGTTGAGGAATGTAATCCGCCACACAGATGCCCACAACAAGGTGCGTTTGGGGTCATGTGTTTGTGTGGGAATACTTAGTTTATTAGGCACACCGAGCTGAAACTAATACAACAGGTAAACCTGCCTTAATGAAGGGCGTAAAAGTTAAAGTGTTATAGAGAGCTGTTGATTCAGTTTGTGGTGCTGTTGAATGTTGTTGCACTGATTAATTTTTTTACTTTCATTTCTTTACCAACATTGATTCATTTTAATATTAATTAATCAAGATTCATTTTAATATTAATTAATCAGGGGACGATAATTACTGTGCAATCTATTGCCCATGTGCAACTGCTGCTAGTATTTGTGTTATTGTGTTATCTGTTGTTGTGGTTTTTTACTGTTTTTTTCTCTTGTACAGTGTTTATATTATATTATATTATTATTTTTTCATACTGTTTGTTACTGTTTTTTTCTCTATCCACTTTGCTGCTGTAAGATTGGAATTTCCCCATTGTGGGATTATTAAAGGAATATCTTATCTTAAATATAGATGAGGGCATCACAGTTAATAACAATATTATTGAAATGTAATATATCAATTGCAAGAAGCTGCAATTTTGTGATTCCCTGGCCTGTTTTTTTTTTTTTCAGTGAAGATTAAATTACTGATGCAAAAATGATGATTCCCACTAGTCGTGAATCATAACGCAATATCTGTAAAACTAATTGCAATATGATGTTTTTACCATATTGTGCAACCCTGATATAAGTAATATAAATAGGGGTAGACTAAGCAACCAAACAAACTGCCAACTGAGAGTAAACTACTTCTCATCATAGACTCAACAGAGAATTCAAGAAAAACGTACTTCCCCTTTAGACTTAGACAGACTTTCTTTGTCATTTGGATTTGCATCAAAGTGAAATTTCGTTGCAATGGCACATAGCACAGCAGGAATTAAGGGTGAGGCAGTATATACAAAATAAATATATATATGCAAATATAAAAAAAGCTTTTGTATAAAAGATGCTGACATCAGTGGAAACAGAAGGACTTCTTCTGAAACAGATGGGCAAAAAACACTAGCCATATACTGCTCAGTTACAATGTTGCTGGATTGTCTTAATTTTTTAAGACAGCAACTACACAGTCCTCTCGTCTTGTAGCTTTAGCACACCTGTATACTGTATCAAAGCAAGCCCATTCACCTTACCAAGTCAGTCATGACTGGTGTTACACTTTTTCACCTTCCAGTGTCACACGTGTAAGACTAAAATACTAAAAGCACACACTTCAGCTTCTTAATTTTGGCTGCCCAACCTCTGCATGATGGAATAATACACTCCGACAAAATGTACCTAAAATAATACACTCTAATGAGCCCACAGTACACCTTTCCAAAGCAGCAGGTGATGAACAGAATGTATCCAGGCAAATCTGATTGTGTACAACAAAAAATAAAAAAATCTAGCTGTACCTTTAAGCAGTGGTCTTTTAGGAAAATCAAACTAAAACACTATTACCAAAGGTCTGCCAATTATAAGACACAAATGCCTTTGTTTTTGAGCAAGGAGGTCTGCTAAACAGCTGCCTGGGGAATTAACTCAGTTCCCTGCAGTTTTCAGCAGTGCCATATTCTGTCTTTTACAGAGCTGGCACTTGTTGGCATTTTCTGTCCAGAAATATCCACCCTCCTTGCCCAAGGGAAGCTTACCTTTCC